ATTTTAAAAAATGGTTTCATTGTAAATACTGAAATGCATAATGTACTGTACTTTTCTGTCAGCAAACAGTGTATCGGCGTGCTAGTATAGCTAACACGTTTCATAACAAAGGGTAACACTCTCAAACTCACAGAGAATCGCTGCTAAAGTCTCCCCAGACGCGCGTCCACTGCTCTCCAAGGCTCTCCACGGCGCGCTGACCGTTCTTCATCGTATATAACTTGTAATATGATCATCATAGACTGAAAGGATCCGAGACGCATTTGCTGCAACTCTTCCGTGCGGAGAAAAGCCTTCAATTCTCGCGTTATGGACTACATTCTCCACAGTGCACTGGCTGAGCGACCGGACGGCGACCCCTCCTTTCTCTGCCCACTGTGCTGACGCGGCGGTGTCAGAGTTCACAGAGTCTGTAATGGCCGATCTCTTTTCTGATCAATTAGAATGAGGATAAAAAGACAACAACAACAAAAACATGCAAATAAGTTCAAACATCCATTCAATATCTATTATTTCCTGAATATTACTGATCAAATTCCTGGCGCCTAAAGGGTTAAATGTAGTAAGACTGAATTTTAACTTATAAGAAAGCTATCCGATCAGAGAAAACGCATTGGGGATAGACTCGATAAGATTTGCGAATCTAATAATAAACCAATAAGATTTGCGCACAGTTTCTTATGGCATCGAGCGCGCTCACTGGCTGCACTTATGTAAACAAACAAACAAAAGTTCCTGCGTGTGCGCCATATTCGAATGAGGAAGGACGCGATTCTGTGTGAATAGGACTGTTTTTAAAACAAAACAATCAAATGAATTCCGATAACTTGGAATGGCGAACATGATCATGTGGACTACTTTTATTTGCTTTTTGGAGCTTGACATTTACAATGACCATTTTCCTGTATCACTAATGAAAACGTCATAGGAATTTGGAGAGACACGGGGGTGAGTATGAGTGGACTGTTTTATTATCATTATTATTATTATTATTATTATATTGTGGGCCAAATTTCATATAGGCTATAGGCCTCCAGCAAATGCAAATTATGTTTTTCCCCTTACTATTCAACATTGAATATGGTGTCTGCTACACTGCATTGAGACATTAGATCCTAGCATCAGTAATGTTTATTTCTGTGTATTTATATTCCTTTCTGTGGGTAATAATAGTAATTGTAATTCTTGTACATTTATGACACGTGTATGCTGCTAAAACTCTGAAAGCAGCAGCAGCCCCAGTAGACATATTTAGAAGACATTTTGTGTTGTGAGTGCCTAAGTATGTCGATGTGCACAAACTGTATTGTATGAGCCTTATGCTTTATTTGTATATGCTTTATTTGCTTCTTAATGGTCTTGTATCAAGTAAAAGCATTTTTAAATAGTTATTGTTACTCCTAGTACAGACATGTTAACTGCAGCACACAATATTGTTTTGTTTGACTCCTTTTCATAAGTGAGGTTATTCAGTCATATATAGTTTATTCAATTACCAAGCAACAAAACAAACAACATAAGTGGGCGTAGAACATGATAATGACAGATCAAACAACCTTGTCCGATTCCTCCAAAGCGGAAAAGCGAGAGAGTGGATTCTGACTGTGAACGGTGAATGAAATTGAGGAGCGGAGGAAAAGAAAAAGAAAGAATGGATGTGATCCCCTAGGCAGTGCCCAAAACAATGTCAGGTTTGTTCGGCCTGGTTGCATGAAGACTAAGCTTGGTGGAACTGGCAGCTTGCCCTCCCGTTCGCTCTCTATACTCCCTCCCGTCACTCTATTCTAACCCTGTTGCTTTCAGGAAGAAGCATTCCTATGAAGTTCATCAGCCGTCTTTCTGTTTTGTGCGGCCATAATGGCAGCTTCATCCTTCGAGCACTTAAAAAGGACACGCTGGGGACTGGAAGGGCCCCGTCAGTTCAGCACCGGCACAGTGGCACTTTGAGTGTTCTCTCTGTCTGGCAATCTGCTCACGCTATCAAACAACCCTCTCTTCCTGCCAAAACCTGTCTCTGTCCCTCCTTCAACCAGTATAGGGGGGTATTTAAAGGGTCTTGTTCACATTACCGCCCAAGTTCAGATGAATGGGCTCTTTGCAGAACAGCTTAGCATCAATAGTAGATGTTATATTTGTTCGCTGTGCTTATTAAGACAAACATTACTGTTAATGCGCCTACTTAGTATTTAATTCATTTAACTCAATACTTAGTAATGATCTCTTCCTAGTTTGTGCTGCGATTGTTGGAATGATAATTTTGATGATTGCCAGTCACTCAGAACACTCTAGCAACATTCATAACACTACTGCAACCACATAGCAACATTATCAATCTACTCCTAACACCTTAGCAATAGTCCCTGACCATTTTTCAGCAACTTTGGTTCCGAAAGTGTTTCCCATTCATTTTTTTTTCCTATAGGGATTTTAAAAAATCAGTTCACATTAAAGAGTTATAGGCCACAAACCAAATCAGCCAGCTACGAGGTGAATCACAATATTACAAACTTTGATTTGATTATTTTTTTTTTTTTAAATTAGACAAAACAACAAGACTTTGTACTTAATGGCTTTAATGAGGAAATTAACTACAATCCCATGAAGCATTGCAAATGGTGAAATATAAAACTATTTGCAGCGCTTCATCGGAGTGGGTGTTCCCTGCAAGCTCTTTTGGCATGATTTTCTGACTGGTGGAATTTTCTATAGAGCATCATGGGTAATGCAGTTTTTTACCACAAAGTCTACTGTTATACATGACTATTTCGCCTACTTAGTATTTAATTCATTTAACTCAATACTTAGTAATGATCTCTTCCTAGTTTGTGCTGCGATTGTTGGAATGATAATTTTGATGATTGCCAGTCACTCAGAACACTCTAGCAACATTCATAACACTACTGCAACCACATAGCAACATTATCAATCTACTCCTAACACCTTAGCAATAGTCCCTGACCATTTTTCAGCAACTTTGGTTCCGAAAGTGTTTCCCATTCATTTTTTTTTCCTATAGGGATTTTAAAAAATCAGTTCACATTAAAGAGTTATAGGCCACAAACCAAATCAGCCAGCTACGAGGTGAATCACAATATTACAAACTTTGATTTGATTATTATTTTTTTTTTTAAATTAGACAAAACAACAAGACTTTGTACTTAATGGCTTTAATGAGGAAATTAACTACAATCCCATGAAGCATTGCAAATGGTGAAATATAAAACTATTTGCAGTGCTTCATCGGAGTGGGTGTTCCCTGCAAGCTCTTTTGGCATGATTTTCTGACCGCATTTTCTGATTGGTGGAATTTTCTATAGAGCATCATGGGTAATGCAGTTTTTTACCACAAAGTCTACTGTTATACATGACTATTCAAAAAATAAGTTAAAATAATGCAAACAGATGGCTTCAACAAAAACATATTCTGAAAACTTTGGTGCAGATCTGTCTTTAAGGTTTATACATTATGGTCAATTTCCCTATGGAGAAAAGGAACCAGACTATTGAAATCTATTGGTAGAGATTTTTGCAGAATCGTGGGTAATGTAGTTTTTCGCCATGACACGTCACCATTAAACATGTTAAATAGGAAAGGGGAAATGGTTTTGGCTTAACGAAAACACATTTAAGTGATTAATTATCCTGTTTGGAAGCAGATGTATATATATATTATAATTGAAAGTGCACAATCATAATCATACTGTAGCTTATGTTTTGGAAAATACTTTAGAGAAGCTACATAATTTGTCTAACCTATAGCTATAAAAATATGCTGGAAAAACATTAAATATGTACTGTACAATATGTACTAGAGGATACAGTGTATAGAAATCGTACAATGTATCATATGCATTTTTGGCGACCCCATGTGGGGTCATGACCCCTAAGATTGAGAACCTATAATTTAAAGGGATAGTACACCCAAAAATTCTGTGATCATTTACAGAACCTCATATTGTTCTAAAGCTCTGTCTTTTCCTTCCTTTTTTTTAAAACAAAAATGATATTTTAAATTACAATATCAAAATAACATTGGACGATTTGACTTGAACACTTGACTTGACATTGTATGAACAATATGAAAGAACGACATGAGAGACGAGAATTTTCATTTTTGGTTAAACTAATATGACTGATTACATGACTTTTAAAAATGTATGTAAATTTAAAAATGTATCTAAAAATCATAAAATACTGCTTTTCTCAGATTTGATCATGCATAGTTTTCTGAAAGGATGTGTATTGTAGTTTTTGCTAAGGATACCATCACTTTTGCTGTTGTTCATGCTTAGGGTTTGGGATTTGATATCTTAGGGTTAAAATTTTATATTAATAAAACATTTTATTTTCTACTTACCCTGGCCAATGAGAAAATGAGTGAAACCCATATCTATAGACCAGCATATCATAGACTCAGGGGTGGGTTCTTTTGATCACCCAATACTACCTAGCAGCATGCTCGCAACTGCATAGCAACACACTAAAAACCATATTGAACACCTTAGCAACTGCATAGCAACGTCCTTGCAATCACCCAGAACATCATGATAGCTACTCTTGTACCAGCAAGCACTGCTCACACTGTCTTCATAAAATGTAAAAGCGTGACTAAACTAGTAGTTTTCTCAGAAATATAGTCATCTGAAAAATGTGTATTGCAGTTTTTCCTTTTTAATATAAAATGATACTGAAACTCCAAATTAACCCCATTTAACCGTAGTGACAGTGTTACAAAAGGAAAAACACAGATCTTGACATCCATGGCACAAAACATGGGCAAGTCTCCCCATGCATGAGTGCTTTAAATGCAGCTTCTTCTATCCAGAATTCCTTCGCTCTCTTTCATTCTCTCTCACTCATTCATTCTCTCTCACTTCTCTCTCTCTCTGTATCTCTCCTTCTTTGTATACTCCATGTGAAAAGCGCTCAGATCTGGCTTTGTGGGAGTGATTGTCACTCGTTTAATGAGCTTCTTTGCCAGGCGAGAGGCTTTGGCAGCATATGTCTCCCCAGTGCCTCTCTCGCTCCGCACCGTTCTTCGCGCTAGTGGCGGGGCTTCTCTCCCGCGTCTGCTGTGGTAGACGTTTCTTTGGATTTCCTCAGCACTCTCTGTTTTTCACGCCTGTGGGAGTAGACTGAGCAGAAGAAGAAGGTTCGTCTGTCTTTTTGGGGACGAGCGAACAAGAATGCAGCAGATTCCTGTGAGTATTTAGGCTTCTGTTTGATGAGTTTGTCTGAGATTGAAATAAAAGCAAGCCGGTAGAGGGAATAACTACTGTAGTATTGTGTGCTGTGACCCCCGCACGTGTGTTACAGAGAGCCTTTTGGAGGGACAATGAAGCAGTGTGTGATCTGCAAAATGATTTTCTTTTTATCCATTGCTTAAATATGATTTAATATTAAGTGCTACCTTGTTTATTTTTGCACTTTTTTTTTTCTTGCATGTTTCTTGTGACTAATGTCTATGTCAGATTAATTTTTATTTTTATTTGACGCTCATATTAATGTTTTGGCTTATTAGTTCTCATGTTCTGTTCTGTTACCATTTTTATAGGGGGAAAACTACTAATTCTGACCCTGGATTTTGATTCGGTCCAAAAATATATTTTTAATTATTTAAATTATTATTTTGAGGGGAAACAAGTGTTTAATTAGAAATGAACACTTTTAATAAATAATTATGATTATTTGTTCACATTCATTCTTAAGGTCTCTGTGAGACCCCAAACATAAAACCAATAAAGTCAATCTTAACAGAACATGATGGTTCAACCTATTTTTCTTGATTATCTTTATGCATTTTTCTTTTATTATTATTATGTTGGTTATTTAGTATGAGAGAGGATGCGGAAATGGTTTACCTGCTCTGTAACTTGATTCTTTAATCTTGGGGATTTTCTGTATGGATCTTTATAAGCACCTCAATGAGGTTATAAAAGTGTGTCCAATAAGCAACCTTTTTTATTTATAATTTCCTTTTTTTTATTATTTTGCAGATTTTGTCTAAATTGAAATATCTCTAAGTGGTTTGAAACTGCTCTGGAAATATCCCTTTACAACTTTGTGTTGTGTTCTGTTTCGTAACACGTTAATAAAAAGGCCAGTGGTTTATCTTAGCATTGACATGGTACAGAAATCCAGATTGTTTTAGTGCTTCCGACAGAACTGTCAAATAGCTTATTTAAAACAAGATTATCCAGATGTTACGGAACAAGTTGTAGCATGTTCTACATTAATAGCTCATATGAATCACCTTCTACACACCACAAAAGTCAATAGACACAGGTGTGCCATTGTTTGGAAAATATACAGAGGGGAATTAGTGTGGTATTTACTCTATGACAAACATTAGATATTTCTTTTTATGCCTTAGGGATAAAAAATTCTACCTACAAGAGGAAAAAAGTAAATTAGCTTTAGATTTGTCAGGGGAAGGAGATAATCTTGGGCACAAGTTCCAGTTATCTTGTCTGGCTACAACCAAGTTTCATCCTGGGAGATTGCCAACATCCGTCAGATCTGAATGAACGTAGCCAGGGCTCTTGCTGTGTCAGTTCCCACAAAATAACACTCCTGTCCCCCTGGTGTGCCTGTTTCCAATCCCCTCTACTTCAGGCCACTCAACACGGATAACAGCCTAATATGATCGCTGTCCAGGGCACATAGACTTCCACTCATCTCAAAGACTTCAAAGAAAGAGGGTAATGAAAAAAAATATTATAAAAGCTGAGACACAAAAGGGAATTTCTCACTCAGTCAGTTCCTTCTCACATGTACTTGAAATGGCACATATAGGGCCTTTTTTACGCTCTCTCTGTCTCTCTCTCTATCCCTCCCCTCCTCCCTACTTGACAACACATCTGTGATTGCCGAGCATTTGAACAATCTCTTTCATTCTTCACAGCCATCTTCTGTGACCTTAGCCGTGCGGACAATTCGTTTCTTTCTCGCTCTCAATTTGGGCTCTATGCATTTGGGCTCAACAACACATCTGTAGAACATTGCATTCTGGTCATTAACGTATTTTTAAACAGCTGAAATTGTGAAATATTGACCAGCAATGCAAGATGCCTGTATTTTAGGGTATTTGAACTTTACAGCTTACTGAGTATGTCGCTACTCAGTATAATGCATCTCTCATTATCACTTGTTTTCACTGAAAATGCCTTTCACGAGCAACATTGTTTGTTTCTTTTTCATTTGTTTTGCAGCAGACAGAAGCAAGTGCCAATCTGTATGTGTTTTGGGTTGGTAGTAAAACCAAAGAGGTAAGAACATGAACAAAACAGTGAAGCTTGTACCTTCTCTTGAGTCATTATATATTTAGAGCTGTAAACAATTGATGGTTGGGCTGGAATTGATGATGTAAATGTATCGTAATTTGGATACAACCAAACCTTGCGGAGGCAGAAGGAGGGAATCTGATCCAGGAGAGTAGTGCTGAGGACTTTGATCCATCTAAGTGACACTTGAATCTGTGTACAAAAAATATTTGTTCATTAATTCTACACGTTAAGTCATTATGCCTGTGGGTCTTTTAGGTGTTATGAGTGATGTCAATGAATCATTTACTCAATTGAAAATTGACTCACATGCTTGATCTTGAACAAACAACATGCCCTACAGACAGGGCGGGACTTAGGTCTGGTCATTAACGTATTTTTAAACAGCTGAAATTGTGAAATATTGACCAGCAATGCAAGATGCCTGTATTTTAGGGTATTTGAACTTTACAGCTTACTGAGTATGTCGCTACTCAGTATAATGCATCTCTCATTATCACTTGTTTTCACTGAAAATGCCTTTCACGAGCAACATTGTTTGTTTCTTTTTCATTTGTTTTGCAGCAGACAGAAGCAAGTGCCAATCTGTATGTGTTTTGGGTTGGTAGTAAAACCAAAGAGGTAAGAACATGAACAAAAACAGTGAAGCTTGTACCTTCTCTTGAGTCATTATATATTTAGAGCTCTCAGTAGGAGAGATCAAAACTCTGAAATAACTTTGAGCAAAAAAAAAAAAAGAGCGTTTGGGCCCTATACCTACACTACAAATGCCCTCAAATAGAACATCATTATGGAGTAACACAAAATACACAAACATATGCTTTGAGGTTCATAAATAGTACAATTAATATGCAACATGTCTAGGCTATAGTCAAAGTATAAATGTAATATTAAATATTCATTATAATATAATAAAAAGGATATGTTCTCTCAGTAGGAGAGATCAAAACTCTGAAATAACTTTGAGCAAAAAAAAAAAGAGCCAGAGATGTTGGCTTATTAGTATTATAAATGTTATTGTCGTATCTGTGTTATGTTCTCTCAGTAGGAGAGATCAAAACTCTGAAATAACTTTGAGCAAAAAAAAAAAAAGAGCCAGAGATGTTGGCTTATTAGTATTATAAATGTTATTGTCGTATCTGTGTCCTCTAATGTTAGGTTCTTATTTAAAGGGGTCATGTGATGTTGCTAAAAAGAACATTATTTTGTGTATTTGGTGTAATGAAATGTGTTCATGCGGTTTAAGGTAAAAAAAACACATTATATTTATTATTGTTTCTCCTCTATGCCCCGCCTTTCTGAAACGCGTCGATTTTTACAAAGCTCATCGGTCTGAAAAGCGAGGTGTGCTCTGATTGGCCAGCTATCTAGTGCGTTGTGATTGACCGAATACCTCAAGCAGGTAGCGGAAATGTTACACCCCTTACCATATTGTGATGCCTTGTCCCGGCCGGAGCGATGAGAGAAAAACATTAAAACCCATTATAAACTAGGCATTTGTTGCATCCAG